GACCAATTTATGCTTCATCATCCATCAAAGCTGGATGTGCAAAAACTCTTGAAATACTTTCCCCTCACATGAAACTAACTTTCAATGTCATAAATCTCATGAGTTCTGCTGTCCGTTTTGAGTTTCATCTTAATTCAACCAACTTGAACAACTTTGCAAGACAAATTGAAGATGTTGGTTACAATATATAGTTTCAGATATTCCACAATTCAAGAAGCAAAGGGCTTTTCAATATTGTCAGTAGGACAAAGTAAAACAGTTTTGTCTCTCAAAACTGTTTCCAGGGTCCACTGTGTTACTTGAGAGGCACCAAACTTTAGTGCATACTCAGTGGGATCTTTCATGTTTTTCATTTAACGTAAGACCCTGTCAGATGCCACCATGCAGTCAGGTTTGAACACTGAAATTTCACGCAATCAATCCTTGAGGTGTTCCTATTGAAGACATTATCACTTTATTATTGCTGCAACTTTTTAATACACATTTGTTTATCGTCATATATATGTGTTACACAGGTCCAAACCAAATATTCAAATGTACCTCAATATTTTATTTATGGTCTCTGCATCCATTACTCATAATTAAGAGACACATTCTGAAGATATTTTCATTCTCAAAGAATTTTTTCTTCTTCTCCTCCTCCAAGTTAAACTTTCATGAGAGGAACATGTTATGTGTAGTTCCAATATACATTTTGAAAATAATTCACTGTATAGCAAAGCAAAGTTTATATTTTTATTGAAGCCCTGGTCAGGAAATGGTTTGGGCAGAGGGCCACACTGACAAATGAGCACAACCTACCTTCACAAATGTCTTACTTCAGGCTCCCATCACCACAATTGCTTATCCACCTCCCTCCAAATGATGGATCTGACCGAGGTATTACCAGCTGTTGATTGCTAGTTTACAGGATCATAATTAACATTATTGTGAGATGATCTGCATGACTATGTGTGCTCTGCAGATTATTGTTAAAATTCCCATGGAATGCAGATTCCCAATAGTAAGCAAATAATATCAAAGTGCTAAAAGCAAAAAAGGAAGCTGGGATATTTGCATCACTAATATCCTAGCACAAAAAATTGAAATCCAGAACAGATGCACAATTTATTTTGAAACACTGAGCTGTCTAATCGCAGCAGGACTAAAATGTTCAGCTAATTATTGAAACAGGTAAGAATTCTCTAGATATAAAGGTAAAGGTAAAGGTACCCCTGCCCGTACGGGCCAGTCGTGTCCGACTCTAGGGTTGCGTGCTCATCTCGCTCTAGAGGCCGTGAGCCGGCACCGCCCGAAGACACTTCCGGGTCACGTGGCCAGCGTGACGAAGCTGCAGCTGGCGAGCCAGCACCAGAGCAGCACACGGAAACGCCGTTTACCTTCCCCGCTATAAAGCGGTACCTATTTATCTACTTGCATTTAAGAGTGCTTTCGAACTGCTAGGTGGGCAGGAGCTGGGACCGAACGATGGGAGCTCACCCCACCGCGGGGATTCGAACCGCCGACCATACGATTGGCAAGTCCTAGGCACTGAGGTTTTACCCACAGCGCCACCCGCTTAACATAATTACCAGATGCTCTGCTTGTATTTACTTATTGAGCAAGTATGTATTTTCAAACAGGGGCAGGAAAAGTAACAAAATATTTTTCCTTTTAGTTGTTTCGATACTACTGCTTACCCTGAACAACATTTGCAAACAGTGAAAGGTCACTATTTTCTCAGTTTATCTCATGTATCTGATGAAACAGGAACTTAGCTGCAGAAGTCTCCAAGGCACAGCAATGCTTTCCAAATTATGTACTGAATAATTTACAGTCTGACAGTGCAATCCTCTGCAAGTCTGCACCAGTGGAAGTTTGTCGGGGGTACCCTCCAATAATGGGCAGCCTCATGCCTGCACACAAAGCTATTCCCTCCCATGGTAACACAGTTATATACTGAATTCTTAGTAACTTAGTAACGCCACTCAAGTGCCACCTTCCATATTTTTGTAGCCATTTTTACCAGGTTTACTGTATTTTCAAAGCTCTGTGATACAATTCATCTGCCCTTACACTGCAGAAGGCAAAAATAATTCAGTAATCCTGGAAGAATGCAAATAGAGCCATTATACAGCTGAACAGCCAGCTCAGCCTTACAGTTATTTAACATTTCAAACTTCGAAATGCAGCTGCATACTGAAAACTGCATATACATTTGCAAAAAGCACAAACGTTTATGTGCACAGAAGTCTGCCAAGAATTTCACTCTCCACTTCTGATACTGCAGAGGTAGTGGCTGTAACGGAACACTTTGCACACTGAAGTTCTTTTCTCACTGTGTTGAATGGCTGGATGTCAGAAGTGAACTTAGAGTGTCTGGCCACATCTGTCCCACAAGCTCCCCATGCCTAATATAGAGGACTGGGGCCTGAAGAGATTGTGGAATACATAGAAACATGCATGTATTGATAACCTTGGACAAAAACTGAAAAAGCAACTCAGTACATTCATGCCTCACTCAACTCTCTCACAGATTAAATACCAACCAAACAACCTGGTGAATGAAATAACAAATATTTTCAGGGAACAATGTGTAGCAAAGTGCCCATCCTTCTACCAGTTTATTTACCAGATCATAACTGCCCCGAATGGCACATGACATCTCCACCCATTAGAACTGAGCCATCACAGTGTGGAACTCATGGCTTGCTCTCTGTCTCTAATTTGGACCAATATACCCATGGGACGTGGGTGGCGCTGTAGGTTAAACCACAGAGCCTAGGACTTGCCGATCAGAAGGTCAGCGGTTCGAATCCCCGCGACAGGGTGAGCTCCTGTTGCTTGGTCCCTGCTCCTGCCAACCTAGCAGTTCGAAAGCACACCAAAAAGTGCAAGTAGATAAATAGGTACCGCTCCGGCGGGAAGGTAAACAGCGTTTCTGTGCGCAGCTCTGGTTCGCCAGAAGCGGCTTAGTCATGCTGGCCACATGACCCGGAAGCTAAACGCCGGCTCCTTCGGCCAATAAAGCGAGATGAGCGCCGCAACCCCAGAGTCGGTCACAACTGGACCTAATGGTCAGGGGTCCCTTTACCTTACCTTTACCTTACCCAGTGCCCCCACCTTTAAGGGCAAAGGAGAATGCTGTTGCATGCACCAAGGGAATACAATGAGTTTCTATGGTGCAGCACAGTGGTGATTTCTCAGCCCAGCTCACTTTCTCTCTTCTGAAATAACTGCCCCCTACTCACAGTAGTGGAGGGGGGGTAACATGTAGAAATTATGCACTAAACAGTGTTAGTAATTCTGACAATTTACACTGCTTGCCACAAACAAAGCAACCTGCTATTACTTGCAACAGTTTAAATGCATTTTTGTATCATACTGGTTGCAAAACTAGTCTCAATTGGTTGATGGATTGTTGCTTTAATCACCAATCTGATTGTATGACTGTATGAGTTGTATGAGTGCACATTAATACAGTATGTGATAAATGTCTATGGATGTATAGCATGTATTTAAGCAGGCAGGGTGATGGTAACCATAGTGCATAGTCCAAAAATAGAATTATCATCTGTAAAAGCATTCATGCTGTGGCAGTTGACAGAATGGATATAAATATACCTATTAGCAGCTTCAACTGAATCTCTAAACAGCACTGTAGTGATAGCAGGACTCTAAAAATAGCTTGACAATGCTGCATTTGAACACTTGGCCTCAGAAGCACTCTGATGCATACACTGGGTGAATTTCAATTTTTCCCTTCATGTAGTTCAAAATGAACATCTGTGGCACATGAGAGACAGGCAAAGTGACATTCTCTGACCTCTCTTCTCTGTGTCTACCCTACAAATAGCTATACAACAATGTAAGATAATTTTTTTCAGCTAGAGAAAATGTTGCACTGGCTAGAATTTTAAATAAGAGTAAAAAAAAAAAAACCAGGCTCCTAAAATAAATTACAAGAGCAAACCATTTCTACATGCATCTTTTGGTGCAAATTGGATCGCACATCTGCATCAGGAGTCACCAGCTGTTATATACATCTCACGGCCCACAGCTACAATTGGATCATGGCCTCAAGTTGACCACAGTTAGCTGGATGAAAAACAAACCTTTGCATTTCTTCCAAATAAACAAAGCACATTTCTTAATTTCCACCCAAATGCCTGTTCTATGTCCACATTTATACCTAACAGAAACTGAACGTGCAGCCCCAAATTCCGCATACTGGAAGTGGGAAGAACCATACTTCCCCCCCTTCAAAATCACATGTTACAAAAGGGGTTATTTCATCGACTGGCCTGCAAATGTCTTATTTTTAATGGAGCAGAGAACCACAATAGACACATCAGATAAAGCGGACTGTAGTCCATGAAAGCAGTCACTTTCTGGTTTTTAATGTTCCACAAGACTTTTCCCCAAGACTAGCAAGTTATAGCTATGAATCTTAAAGATCACAGTAGCCTGCTAGGCTGATAGCAGCCACAACAAACAAGATGCACTTGGTATCAGATTTCCTATACATATTTTGGTTAAATTACTTCAAATTAGTGTGTTAGAAATATAATTTCAGAAAAATCAATTGTGCTTATTTCTCCTTTACAGGATGGAAAAAACAAAGTGAGCTTTGTTTTAGCACCTTCACGCAATGGGTCTGGTTTTACTATTTTAGGCAGAAGAACACAAAAGAAAGTTATGACTTGCACTTTATTGAACTGGTTAATTAGCACACTTAAGTTGGAAAAGAAAGAAGTAAAATTAGATGTTTTACTGGATCAGTTAGTATTACAATCCTTTAGAGCTTCTACTGTCAAAGCAGCAAAACAACAACAACAATCCCAATGGATCATCTAGCACTTATTTTATTGCAATATTTTACAAAACCATTTATTTGTCTGATATACTAGTTTGCTTTTCCCCAACAAATTGTCACCATACACAATGCCTTACCTATCTCTTCCAGCACCAAACATTCAACGCAGCCAGGCAAATCAATTTTTGTGATAGTGTTCGCTTACCTTTACATGACTGAAGTCACCAACTTTGGTGGTTTCTGGTGGATTGATAGGTTTGTTCTCGACTCGTGGTTTTATCACTTGTCGAAAAGGACTGGAAAGCGGAAGACCACTCACGCTAATTCCATCTAAAAAAAAGGGGGGGAGAACATTATTATTCCTCCTTTCAAACTCAGAGGCACTTAAAGAGAAATATCAGTAGGCGACCAGATCTTTGACAAGCACCTGTGTCTACCCGGTACTAGGTAATAAACCCAAATCACTCAAGATTCAAAATAGTTTCTTTGATGCACAGAAATTTCAAGGTAATATGACAACTGTGCGAATTGACAGTTCTAACTAGCACTGGGCAAACTCTCTCGTGCTCGTCCTAGTCAGACCCAGAAGCAGACTGATTTGGCTTTTTGTTTTAAATCGATTCCAAAGTCAATCTATGAGGCTTGGGAAATAAAGAACTCCTCCTCCTCCCTGGAAGTTCCCCTGCTCCCTTTACTTACCTGCAAGCAGGGATGGCATTTGAGAACAGAGGAGAGATATTATATACCCTATACACATGGCTATTACTAGAAGTAAGGCTGGCTCTATGCCTCTTTCATTATACAGCTACCACAAGCAAAGCAAGTGCAAGTCTTTGTGGCACCCTTATTAATGCCACTATGCCATCCTGCATCCTCTGACAATCTGGTATCAACGAAGGCAACATGCCTTCATCCAAACTGCTTATTAACACAATACTTCCAGCAAACATTCATTGGAACAAAGCCTTCCAAAATCTCTTTAATAATACTTGCTTAACATTAAATAATGGATAACGTGAATATTATGTATTCAATACTGCAAGAGTTAATTAAAATTTAGAGTCAGTAGACCTTTATCATTAGGTCTTAATAAATTTCAAAGTTATTTTTGTCAGAATTTGTGGATTTGTGGGCACCGACAAAACTCATTACTGTAACTTCTAAATAAGTTATGTACACAGCACATCTATTGCATTATTTAAAATGTTACTTTTATGAGATTCTGTGCAATACAACTTTTCAATTACACACAGGGGAAGGTTGAAAAACGAGGTTTCTGCTTTGCCCCTATGCTTCCTTATCTTACTGAGATGAACAAGCATGCTGTTGCATGGGGGGAATGGAGGAGACATCAGGATGGGAGCTGAACACAGCCCTCCAGACCTCTCTGCAGAACCAGTGTGGTGTAGTGGTTAAGAGCGGTAGTCTCGTAATCTGGGGAACTGGGTTCGAGTCTCTGCTCCTCCACATGCAGCTGCTGGGTGACCTTGGGCTAGTCACACTTCTCTGAAGTCTCTCAGCCCCACTCACCTCACAGGGTGTTTGTTGTGGGGGAGGAAGGGAAAGGAGAATGTTAGCCGCTTTGAGACTCCTTCGGATAGTGATAAAGCGGGATATCAAATCCAAACTCTCTCTGTCTGACTCCTGGACTTCTCATTAGGCCACACTCCTCAGCTACCCTACGCCACACCATCCCCAAATTCAGTTACATGCACACATCATCACTGCATCCTTCAATGGTGAGAATGCCTCTTGATTGCCTGGATGGAGTATGGAAAGAGGGGTGTGCATGTGTACGAGCCTCTGACTTCACATGACTGCAATGTAGTCTACTGTACTGTACAACAGCAAGAGTTACATCTGTTGCTCCCGACTTTTCCCCCTGTTTCTACCACTGTTGTGCCCACCCCTCGCAAAGTTGTCAGAAGGGGAATACAGCCCATGGACTGAATAAAACCACGTTCCTACCCCTGCTGTTGAGTAAGAATAGCTTCTCAACTTACCATCAGTGTGGTTTTAAATATTTATGGGAAATACCTGATGGATCGCCATATGGATGGTCTCTTTCCCAATTCCAACAAGGGGTTGAACCAAGAGGTGGGGAAAGACACACTTGTACACACAAGTTCTAGGCTTGCAATAGAATGGATTGAACCCATAATGTTTAAAAGCAGTAGGGGAAAACATTCACTAGCAACTTTCCACTAGGCACCGAGAAGGGATATAGGTGAATTTATTTGACTTGAGTAATTCAACTGGAAAGTTGTTTAAATTATCATGTATGATATTATGAAAATATCATGCTCTTATTATTCTTGGTATTACTCTGTCCCAGATCCCAAGCTCATAATTTAATTAAAAACACTATTCACATTACATATCAAGCTTACCAGATCTGACCACATGCTGCACGAAGGGATATGGTAAGATTATATATGAGACCTAATGGGAAAGCTTGGTGAACTTTGCCTCGATCCAAACATAGCTTTGGAGTGATTTTAAAGATGTGTAGTCAACTAGATCAGCTGCTGGTTCCATTACAGCCAGGGTGATATTTGCCATTAAGGTTGCAAAGTAAGAGATGTCACACCCTACAGCTTTGAAATATCCCTAACTAAGCCAAAATACTTACCAAAAAACCCCACTGCATACCAAAAAAGAATCCAAAACTCACCATCATTAAGGTCTTGCAGGAGGTTTTCCTGGCAGGAGAAGTCAAGCTTTACTTTAATGTACACAATAAATGTAGCAATGTATCCTGGTTTCAGAGGAAACTGGGAGAGCGTGTCTTCCAGATTCCAGCTCAGAAAGTCACCAAACAGCTTTCCTATAAAAATAATAACAACAACATACAGAAGTTATGTGTAGACAAACACAATAAGTACACTGGGTCAAACTATAAAATACCCAGTGTTCAGTATGGCTCCTCCTGAATATGCAGAATTTTCTTTTTCAAAAAAAAAACAAAAACGATTTCTGTGCACAAAAGTGACTAGTAAATATAATAGTGGACGATCGGGTTGTGAACGTTATCCGTGCAGGATGCACGTTTGCAACCTGCAGTGTTCGCAACCCGTGTCTGCACATGCGCAGGTTGCGATTCGGCACTTCTGCGCATGCGCAAAGCGCGATTTAGCACTTCATGCGCAACTGACAAAACCCAGAAGTAACCCGTTCCATTACTTCCGAGTTTCGGCAGTCCGCAACCCAAAAAAAACGCAACCTGAAGCAGCTGTAACCCGAGGTATGACTGTAATAATTACATCACTACCTAGGCCCAGAATTCTCAATTCTCAATTATATTTGGAGCCGATCTATTAGAAAGCAGCCAGGTTTGCAGGGTATGGAGGAAGCAGAATGCCTAGAAAATAACTCCCCCTGAATGTCAGGTTATTTACTACCTATTAAGTGCAATATGGGGGGGGGCACACACACACACACACACACAACTAGAAAAAGTTCAGTGTATAACTGCATGCTCTGAACACTAGAAAACAGGGCAAGAGAAGAGGCAAATGGGTTGCAAGAGTAATTGCTGGGGTTTCGTTGGCACCTGCCTGTCTTGAGAGACAATGAGTTGCACCTCTGGGGTTAAGTCAAACCACTGGAGAATCTCAGCACCTGCTATGGCTGCGGAGACCGCTAACTCGGTCTTTTTGCTGGGTTAGCAGCATCAAAGCTATCTCTCTGGGGCACAAGCTTGGACACAGAAATATTGGGCTGCCCAGATGACGAGACCCTTCTCTCGGCCTCACTGGTGTGGTCCAAAGGAAAGCAGAGGGATGCGTTTGGCACCAGTTTGGCTGCAGGAGTTGCCGGAAGGAGGCGTACAAGGTGCCATCCAACTGCCTTAGGGATTCCACTCCAGATCTGTGTAGTGTTTACTCTTTTGCCTTTTCTTCTCCCAGAAATGTCCCGCAAGTCAGCGGGTAGTTACTGGGGTAGGTGAATTATTATTGATTCAATTTATATCCTCCCCTTGCTCCCGAAAAGGCCCGGGGTAGCAGTATTAGAATTTGAGAATGACAGAAATAAAATTTACATTAGTCAGATTAAAAGGCTATGCCTATTAATTTATTTCAATCATTTATTTTTATGATGAGAACACAAAAGTAGATTCTAAATATTTGCAGCATGTATCACTGCTGAGAACAACTAAGAGATCACCAGAATTTGCAGGCTTGTGCAAAGAGTTATATTTTTTAAAGGCCCAAAACATTGTTGCACTTGTTCGGATCACTGTTTGTCCGAGTGCTTCGAAGTAACTAAATTATTAAAATACATATTTTTAATCTAAAACTTGCACAGTTAACTATTTTTCCTGTAGGAGTCAGCCGGAGATGCATTATTCATTACAACAGCACTGCCAACTATTGCCTTTATTATCAGAAACACAATAACGAATATTTTTTTCCATTCCAGTAAAAGCTCATTTAAGATGCAAGCACATCAAAAGAATGGCCACTTTCTGACATCTTATGTTTAGTAGCCAGTCTTTCTATCAAGGTGGTGTAGTATCTTCAGATCCACTGACCAATGTTGCAAATGTTGTCTTCAAGCAAAGCTCACCTGTGACTTCCTTACTTATCAAGTCCTGAAGTTAATGGAACTTATTTCAAGATGACATGGACAGGTTTGCCACTCAAGTCCAATTGGGAGCAACTGCACTTAGTCTTAACTTTTTTTCTACTGATTTCAATGAGGCTTTGTTCATTACTAACTAAAGCAGGCTCAGGGTTGTTTAAATTTTCTCCCCTTAACATAATAAGTACAGGGGTACCTTGGGTTAAGTACTTAATTTGTTCCGGAGGTCCGTTCTTAACTTGAAACTGTTCTTAACCTGAAGCACCACTTTAGCTAATGGGGCCTCCTGCTGCCACCGTGCCGCCAGAGCACGATTTCTGTACTTATCCTGAAGCAAAGTTCTTAACCTGAAGCACTATTTCTGGGTTAGGGGAGTCTGTAACCTGAAGCGTATGTAATGTAACCCGAGGTACCACTGTAAAGGTAAAAAGGTAAAGGACCCCTGAATGGTTAAGTCTAGTCAAAGGCAACTATGGGGTTGTGGCGTTCATCACGCTTTCAGGCCAAGGGAGCCGGCATTTGTCCACAGACAGTTTTCCGGGTCATGTGGCCAGCATGACTAAACCGCTACAGGTGCACAGAGGACCGTGACAAGTGCCAGAGCGCATGGAAATGTCGTTTACCTTCCCACAGCAGCGGTACCTATTTATCTACTTGCACTGGAATGCTTTTGAACTGCTAGGTTGGCAGGAGCTGGGACAGAGAAACGGGAGCTCACCCCGTCGCGGGGATTCAAACCGCCGACCTTCCGATCGGCAAGCCCTAGACTCAGTGGTTTAGACCACAGCGCCACCCACGTCCCTTTAATGCCATGGTTTAAAGTTAGCTTAATATCCTGGCTTGTTTGTAAACTACTGAACAGGGTTTTTTTTTGATCACATACAATCTGATGCTCTGATTAAGAGCTGAATCCTGGCTCATTCAGGCCGTCACACCAAGGGAGGGATGAAGCAGCTGCCAAGGCACCTGCACAGAGCTTCTGCGTATCCTGGCTTACTGAGCAAGGAACTAATCATGCAAACCAGGCCAATGTGATTTCCACAGGAAATTAGGTACACGTTTGGTGGACTACATCCTCAGTTCACATGCCTCTTAATTTTTTGCATATCTCATAGAAGAATCATAATTTAGTAGCTATTCAAACATTCAAATGTGTATGTGCATCTCCGGTGATTTTTAAAATACTTCTCGGTGAAGCTTTCTTCCCTAGTAGTGTGTTAAAAGACTGCAGCTTAAAGAGAGCTTGTAAGAAGTCAGTGAGGAATGCATAAACTCAATAAACTGTTTCTTGATCGAAATAGTCATGGAAAATAAAAATTTAAAGAAGAAGAAGAAAGAAATAGTCATGGAAACAGAGTTTAGAAGCTTTATAGTAGTGTGGACATTTCTAAACAGTGCAGAATGCTTTTTTTACCTTTTACTTTGGTGCAATGTCATAAAACACCTATCTTGCAAAATCTGCATTAGCTGCCTATATATTATCAAGTTCAATTAAAGGTGTTAAGACTAACATAAAAATCCCTACACAACTTGGACCCTAGGGAGGTGGTTTTTCCATTTTCCTCCTGCTAGTATTCTTTGTACGGTTGAGACACTGATAAATGAAATGGAATCATTATGAATTATATATGTTTTAACTGTATTATATTTATTGCTTTTGTTATTACCAATGTGCACTTTTATGAAAACCCCTTTGATGTCTGCTTGACAGAAAGCACCATATAATAATCTGCAATATTTAATTAAATAATGTTTTGGGCTTACAGAAAATACTTCTCTTTTTAAATCTGATAAACTTTAAACCCTGTATCAAAAAATAGTCAACAACTATTATTGTTTATATTAGGTGGTTTTATTTTTTGATATTTATCAGTAATTAAAAGGACATCAAAATCTGAAAATACCTTCAAAGATTGTTCCTTTCCAAAATCCTTGTTGGTACAAAACAAAAACCGAATCCAGCGAAACAATTTTAGGTTTATTCTTTGTTAAAGTATAAGGTGTTGCTCCTGCCACCAGAAAGAGCTGTGTATTATATAAATGACCAAGATTCTCTGGGTATCAAGCAGCAAACTTGGAGAGGTGGGGATTCTCACATAAGTCTTGTGGAGGAAGCATATACAATACCATCCCTCCAGTCCCTTCATCAATCATAACCGCCTTTCTCAAAATATATGCTTATCACATAACTTATGAAGAGCCATCACCAGAACTTTATTGTTGCCAATTTCCTCCTCATCCCTTTCCTCCTTGTGTACTGTATGCAGGTATCTTTGATGAAGTTAGTTAGAGGTCTAGAGGTGCCCAGCCTGTCATTTATTTATTTAAATCCCAGCTTTCTTCCATCGTGTACATTCCTCTTCAATTAGGCTTTTGGCTGAATAACCTTCTATGTCCTTTCAAATGTTTTTGCGGGAGGTGGGTTGTTATTCGTCTGTTTTGTATTTGTTCTTGCTTTTATTATGGGCTTTGCGTTTTGGTTTTTTAATGCTGGAAACTGCCCTGAAATCTTCAGCTGAAGGGTGGTATACAAATTTAATTTAATATAATAATGATAAGAAGCAGCAGCAGCCAGTGGGCATGGCTGTGCTGCACTCAGAAACCTTTAGGAATCAATAATAATTGCAAATACCTTTTGTGTTGATCATTTTTGATGTGACCTCCAGCTTCTCCAAAGGCTCTGTTCCAATATTTTCCAGCTTAATGGTGAGTTGCTGCGTCTCTCCATTATAGAGCTGGACAGACACATTGGTGGCTATTTCATCTCCTGAGGAAGGCTGTAGCATGTGAGCAGACCTTCAAGAATGGCATGAAAATACAAGTGAAAAACACATGCAACATTGATAAACATATGAAAATTACATTATCTACCTTTATGATTTTATTTATTATTATTTTTTGTCCTGCCCTTTCTCCAAAGAGCCTGGGGCAGTATACCTCCTTTTCCCCAGTAACATTATATCCCCACAACAACCCTGTAAAGATATATTAGAGGTGAGGAACAAGGTCATCCAGTGCATACCTCGTCTGAGCTGAAATTTGAACCCAGATCTTCCCAATCCTAGTCCGATACTGACCACTACACTATGCTGGCACAGCTTATTTACTCCTCTCCTTTCCGTGTGACATATAAAGATATTGACTGCATGTGCTAATGCACAGGTGATAACGGTCATTGTGGAGAATTCTACTTTGGCTTTCCAAGAAGAATCTAAAGAAGAACTTAAGACTGGGAATTGGTGAGTTAATTCTCCTTGCAGTGCAAGTTATTGAAAGGTCCGTTCTTAACCTGAAACTGTTCTTAACCTGAGGTACCACTTTAGCTAATGGGGCCTCCTGTTGCCACCGCCACTGCGCAATTTCTGTTCTCATCCTGAAGCAAAGTTCTTAACCCAAGGTACTATTTCTGGGTTAGAGGCGTCTGTAACCTGAAGCGTCTGTAACCTGAAGCATCTGTAATCTGAGGTACCACTGTATAATAAAATGCTTCATGTTTTCACTAATACAAACACATAAATTTGAATGGGAACACAATATAATGTTATGTGGTTCTTTGGAGAGTGGATGATTCCCCTAGTTCCTAACGACTTGAAAATGATCATTCAGGTTTCTTACCTTGGTAATGAAGTACTAATTTGCAATCTAGGTAAAGCTGGAATGACTTCCACTGTGCAACCATTGGTCTTTATTCCTGGTAACTTATCCAGAAGACAGTCACTGAAGACCCCAAAAACTGAAGTGTGATAACCTGCCATCAACAGAGACCGAATCAGGAGTTTATTGTCAAGTCATGGATAGAAACCCCAATGCAGTTGACGATGTCAGAAACTTGATATATATGGAATATATTGAAAAGTTTAGTGACCTTGGTACCAGTGACTCATTTGGGCCCTCCTTACTAGCTAATTATGATATACAGTAGTTAGCAATTATCTATGATGAGCTATTTAGGAAATGTCCAGGAGCCAATAATCCTCAAAACATAACTAACATTGGTTGGGGGGTGGGGGTTGCCATGGGAATGGGATGGGGGCTAAATGGCAAATATAGAGGCCAGTAAATTTTAATCCTATTTAGTATTCACACTATGAGCCAAAGTCTTAAGAATATGTATCCGTCCATTTCCTATTCATTTCACTCTTGCATGTTTTCACTCATAAATCAGTTACCGTATTTTTCGCTCTATAAGACGCACCAGACCACAAGACGCACCTAGTTTTTGGAGGAGGAAAACAAGAAAAAAAATATTCTGAATTTCAGAAGCCAGAACAGCAAGAGGGATCGCTGCGCAGTGAAAGCGGCAATCCCTCTTGCTGTTCTGGCTTCTGGGATAGCTGCGCAGCCTACATTCGCTCCATAAGACGCACACACATTTCCCCTTACTTTTTAGGAGGGGAAAAGTGAGTCTTATAGAGCAAAAAATACGGTACTTCCCATTTTTTTGCATTAAGCTGTAATTTCTTTAAGAAGAAATATTTAAATTATTACATATTTTCCTTGCAAAAATGCACTCTTCTAAAAACACATATTTCTAAAAACCTTTCTTTTTTCAAAACACATTGGTGGGGGAGGGACTTCACCAAAACATTTGTAAGTGCAAACATTTATGGATAGCTAACTTCTGAATCACACTTTCGTGTGGGAAATGGGGATCGGGTCAGTTCATTTTGGGATTCACGAAAATCAAATTCCACAAATATCCCTACTAGAAACAAGAGAATTTTGCCAATTTGCCAAATTGTGTTTTAGGCGAACTGTTTTAGGATTTACCTTGGACTACCCCAGGACCTCTGCTGCCCCTTTTCTCCCATATACAGTAATCTACAATTCAACAAACACCATCCGCCTCTGAGATGTTCAGCTACATTAGAGAGATTCTTTTTGATACCAGACTCCTGACTCATTTACTGGAAAGCACATTAATTATAAGCAATTTAAAGATAAGCCTCTTGTTTTCTCATTTCTATGTACAGTTAGTAGGCAATTAGGTTAGCTCAATATTTTCTTTTTAGAATCGATTGATACAATCTAGACTTCATTTATGAAATTTGTAGCCCACCCTTCATCTCAAATGGCAGCAACTATATGCAGTTTTAACAATAGGGTAATAAGTAGACACAGTGAGATAGACTGCTTCTATTTCCTGTGTGGCTGGGCAGAATTACAGTAAGCAAAAGGGATCACTCACTTCTACAGAAAAAAGGGCAGGGGATTAGAACAGCCTTGCCATTTAGAAAATCGACAACTTCTGACGCATGAATGGAATATAAAAGCAACAACAGTTTTTACCATTGATAGTGATCTGGCCTGCAGACTGTGGGACACCAACAAGTGTTACTGGATAGAGGCCAGATTCTGCTGGTAAAGAGAGAGCTGCAGGGAGGGATTCAAACTCCACTCCACTTGTCAGAAGGCCCTGGAGGAGGTGGAAAGCATATATATATAACAGACACACATAAGTAGTCTATTCAACTTGCATCAAAGAGAATATGAATGCTGTCTGCTAGTGCTTATTTATACTGCTTTACTATTTGTACTGCTTTACTGTTTTTGCCACTCTTCCAAGGAAGAAATAGTGGGATATAAAGGATTTTAAATAAAATGTGTCTGCATTGAAAATGGGGCTTTAAATTAAGCAAGCCATGCTTAAACCAGCTTGCAAAGGTTTTTGGTGCTTAACTTTTAGCGCTGTGTTTACTGTAATGCTCAAACTGCTTATTATTATACAGTGGTACCTTGGATTAAGAACTTAATTGGTTCCGGAGGTCCGTTCTTAACCTGAAACTGTTCTTAACCTGAAGCACCACTTTAGCTAGCGGGGCCTCCCGCTCCCGCTGCGCTGCCACCACATGATTTCTGTTCTCATCCTGAAGCAAAGTTCTTAACCCGAGGTACTGTTTCTGGGTTAGCGGAGTCTGTAACCTGAAGCGTGTGTAACCCAAGGTACCACTGTATTTCATCTGCTGCATTTAATATTGCAATTTTATTATTTTATTGTACATTGTCTTAAGTACATTTGTAGAAACAGAACAAACTATATTGTATGTGAAACATTTCTAATTTTGTGTCCCCTCCAACTCTATCAGAATCATTAAAGAATTGTAATCTGCAGTGAAAGGGTATATGATAGCCCCCGTAGTCTGAGCCACTGGCTCTTAACATTACTGTCAGTTTTGCATTGAGATTAGCAACTGTACACAGTAATTACATAGGCTTCATACTGTATATGCAATACCACAATGGTAAATCTAACTGCAATGGAGATTTCCTTGCAAAGCCACCCCAAAATAAGTAAGCATTACATATTATTATGTAAGTTAAATGTCTGAAAACTGAAATAGCTAAGTTCCAGCTCCTAACCAGAAGAAAAAGCCTTTCCTTTCTTTTTAGGACTTATTACCAGTGAATTGTCTCTGTGAATTGAAAAAGTCCCACTGGTCAGAATAATATACCACCATCTGCTGGAGCAAAGGACATTTGGTTGGTTAGATTCACGAGCAAGTGGGTCAAAGAATCACTCTAATGTGATCTCAACTGACACGGCAGTTAGCTGAATTAACTGCAGAGAGTGTCTGAGGAGACACAGTATTATTCAGCTCAACAAATGACAACAGCCAATAGCCATTTCACTCAACACAGATTGCAGGCTATCTGGGTGCATTAACATGAATCAAAACTGTAGAACTCTGTCATCTACTTCCAAAGTGACAAAGTGCATTGAGGCAAATCCCTAACAGAGGACAGAGGCCTTCGCTGTTGTGTGTATGAAAGAGTTATGCAGGCTGAAGGCAGCAAACCTGAAACATGTTTTTGAACATTTACCGTATTTTTTGCCCTATAGGACGCACCGGCCCATAGGACACACTTATTTTTTTTGGGGGGGGGAGGGAATAAAGGGAAAAAATGTTATTTCCCCCCCCCCAGCCCCAAAGAGCAAAGAAGCCATGACAGCGAGCGGGAAGGATCCCGCTCGCTTTCCTGGCTTCCTTTTTGGCCTTGGGGCTGGGGGTCCGGGAGCGAAGGCGATGTTGCGGAACCTCGCCATTGCTCCCGGAGCTTGCGGGGCTGGGGGCGGGGGGCGGGGGAAGCCGAGCTTCCCCTTACCCCAGCCCCCAGAACGGGTCGGAGAGCGATAGCAAAGCTGCGCGCAGCTTCGCCATCGCTCTCTGAGCTTGCGGGGCAGGGGGCGGGGGAAGCCGGAGCTTGCCGGGTTGGGGGGATAGCTTCCTGAAGCCTGGAGAGCAAGAGGGGTCGGTGCACACCGACCCCTCTCGCTCTCCAGGCTTCAGCGAAAGCCTGCATTCGCCCCATAGGACGCACACACATTTCCCCTTCATTTTTGGAGGGGGAAAAGTGCGTCCTATAGGGCGAAAAATACGGTATGTCCCACAACGACCAAGGCTTTGCAACGAAGATGGATTTTTTTTTAAAGTAACAAAATAACAACACCCACCCCCCACCCCAAGAAAAGAGGTATTGCGTATCACTCCCCATAAGGCTAAGAGAGAGGGACACTATGCTGTGGTATGTACTGGGTGCTGCTTTTGCACTTAAGGATGATCTTATTTTGAAATTTGGTGTGTTTAGTATCATTCTGCAAATCTTTGTAAGATTTCATAGCATACAAGCCTCTGGTATATAAAATAGTTGATTAATTTTAGCATTAACCGTGTCTGATTGAAAACACCAATTTCATAATGGAAAAAGCCCCACCCCCACTTCTGATATATTTTCCTTGCAGTGATGAAATGACTGTACAGGGCTTGCTTCTTTAAAAAGATGTATTGTGGGGGAGGGGGGAGGAATCAGAGATTTATAAAATTATGAACTATATGAAGAATTCATTTTAAGCGTTTTCCCCCCCTTTCCCTGAACACAAGCACTTGAGAGCATCCATTGAAATTGATGGGCAGGTCATTCAGGATAGACAAAGGGAAATGATTCTTGAAATCAATAATTAACATGTGGAATTGGTGGTCACAAGATGTGGTGATGGTAACTCAATTTGAAAGGGGTTACAGAAGCTAATGTAAGAGGAAAGTCTATCAACAGCTATTAACTATAGCTTTACTAAACCTCCCTGCAAAAAGGGATGCAACTCTGTCCCCCAGCGTCTAGCACTCAGACAGGAGAAGACTGCTACCTTCAGGATCTGCTTGTGATTTCCCAGAAGTATATGGGTGGTCACTGCCGCAAACAAGATACTGAACTTACTAGATGAAACCTTGGCCTGATCCAGTTAGGAAAAAATTAAAAAATCCCCCCTTTATTATTTATGTATGATCATTCAAAAATAAAAGTTACTTCTTCTGCATAACAAAATGCTTGAAAATCCAAATAATTTATTGATAAAGCTTTGCCACCAAGCACTAGATTATTAAGACATCACTTTCACTTCTGCAAATCATCTTCACATAAGTTGATATAGGTAGTTTCTTTGGGACTCTTCATATTTTATTAAATCAGGAAAGGTGCACTATTAAAACACAGCTATTTCAGCTGAACAATGACTGCCCTTGTGTACATATCATCCAAACCCTTTAATTCCGGCCTTCACAGTGTCTTGTCACACATTTCCAATGGTTCCGACTAGGACTAGAACTCTTTCCTCAATTAGCATTATTGCTGTGTGGACAGAGGAAAAAGACCCAGGGATGAGGAATGGGGCAAGATTTGACAGACACAAAAAACGATGAACACAACTCCATATTCATCCAGCAGTGCCCTTAGGAAAAGAAACCAAGGAGTTTTAAAGAATGTAAAAGCAGAAAGTAACAAAGACCTGGGGCTAAATTTAGAGGGCACAGAGATGTCAAGTTGAAAGGTCAGAAGAAATTTGGCATAAAAAAAGTTACATGGACAATGAGGAACACAACTATTGCTGCTAGCGTGCCTCAAATCCTCAAGAACTCCAATAGAAACATAACTTGGCTTAAAGGAGCAGTGTTATACTTGATCTCAAACCTCGTTTATAGAATGAACTATTCTATAAACGAGGTTTGAGATTAAGTATAATGAAATACAAATAACAACAACAACAATAATAATATCCCTAGTCAGTAAAAGGCAATGGTTTTATCCTTGCTTGTATACACTAGCATAAATGTTCATCAGTATAAAGCATATCAAACAGGCCTGGTACAGATATTAAGAGGGTGACCACACACCCTCATTTCACTGTCCTCTTCCCAACAATTCCAGCCATTTGTCCCATCTCATTTTAAACATGTTAACATCAGTAAGGCTAATCAGGGTTTCAAGTCAACCAGGCTTTGAAACATACCATATTTTCTACACGGAGTTCAAAAGGCATTGGATTGTACACCATAAGCTGAACTTCACAAACATCTCCCTGGACCCATTGAAAATCTGTATTAAAAAAACAAAAACATAACAAGTTTCAGAGTTGCTGTTGTTGTTTTTTAAAAAGCTACATGCATACTTTGTTGCTGTGATCATATATTGCTACAGAGTTATTGTTGGTATCTCACGTGCCACCCATACGGGCTGCCTCTCGCATGGCGACCGTACAGGCTGCCGCTCTCGCGTGCCGTCCGCATGGGTGTCCGTACTGGCTGCCGCTTGCACGGCGACAATAGGAAGTCTTGATCCCCACGTAACCCAACTTTTGTTGCAAGATTATGCTAAGCTATAACAACAAATCGGCAAGCATTCTGTTCCTCACGCTTCCAATAAGCACTGAACGACTGAAAGGCATTCTTGCAATCATCTTCAATGATACTATAAAAATGTGAGCTGCTTGTATCCTTCTTTCCAAGTGGCAGCAGTGGATTAACACATCATGAGCTGCAAACAAAGGCAAGATGGATACAAGCAATCTGTGCCAAGTTGTCTAGTCAGTTTTATAATCGAGAGGAGGAAATAGCGTATTGATCCCAAAACTGGCAATAACCACTTGATTCAATTTGCAGGATGAAAACCAGCAAGCAAACAGTGGTATATCAAATATTCAAGCAGGATGCATTTTAAAACTTAATGAATATAAGAAATAATTTCCTTACCAATTTTTTTACTCCGCTCCTCCCCACGATTGTGAGCAATGATTGGAGAATATATAAAGGGACTCTTTGTTGACATGTTCTGACCCACCAAGCTTTTTATTTTCTGCGGCCGAAGGCTAACAGGGAGATTTAAAAGCTTGACAGATCTGTTAAATAAACAAAAAGGGTTGTTTTAACATAGCAAAGACACCTAAATTGAACATGCAGTCAGAATAGAAACAAGGCAGCATTAGAAATTCTAGTAAAATCAGCTTAGAGTAGTGGGGGGGGGGACAAATTGCAAGAAGAATAAAGGATTATCAATTCCTTAAATAAGCATGCTCACTATAAGCCTGGTAACCTATACATATGGCAATGCATCCAGCTTGAATTCAGAACTTCAGTGTCTGAGGCTTAGTGAGCTCTGAGAGACTGTGTCCCCAGCAATAGTGCTTAGGATTATTTTCCATTCAATATGTAGTAGCATAAAAAGCAAATTATATATCTTAAATTCTAACTGAAAGGTAAAATTATTTCACATTCCGTGGCCATAACACTGATGCCATGCCAATATTGACAATGAATTCTCTGGAAAGAGACTTCATTGGCAAACATATCTCAGGCAAAGCCGCTATACAGTGGTACCTCAGGTTAAGTACTTAATTCGTTCCGGAGGTCCGTTCTTAACCTGAAACTGTTCTTAACCTGAAGCATCACTTTAGCTAATGGGGCCTCCTGCTGCCGCCACGCCGTCAGAGCATGATTTCTGTTCTCATCCTGAAGCAAAGTTCTTAACCTGAAGCACTATTTCTGGGTTAGTGGAGTCTGTAATCTGAAGTGTATGTAACCTGAAGCGTATGTAACCCGAGGTACCACTGTACAGCACAAAATAAATAGGTATAACAGCAACAGCTCAATCCACCATGGAACCATCTATGGCAGCATCAGCCAACACAACCATGAAAGTAGAGAAAAGGGTTAGACTAGTATGAAAGCAGACAACAACAAACCAAGATAAGTCAGAAAGAATGATATGATGCTGAGACATCATGACTATGCATATATTTGGGTAGTATTAAGAAGCAAATCACTGATATTCAGGGGCTAAGATGCAGTCTCAACTATGCAAGATCAGTGTCCTCAACACAATGACTCCTTACACAACTGGCTACTCCCTTCGAGAAATATTGTTACAAGTCAGAAACTGGACAGATGGTTACAAGGACAGAAACTGTCCCATTCTACTGCAGCTGACCCATGGAACACAAAGAACGTTTTGACACCTACAGTGCAAAGCACGAAAACCAACAGGACCAAGCAATTCAATTGCAATTGATGGTTACCTTACAATAGGAAGTTTAGTGAATGGCACAGGGGGAAGCTTTAAACCATCTGGAAGCGTAATTAATTCCATCGTCCCAGGGCATTTTGAGGTGTAGTTTTCTAGACTTTGTGTTACATCTTTCTTTTCTGAAAAGAAAGCACAATTCTCCATTAAAGTTGTCTCAAAACGGTAATATTCAAAAGCACATAATTTATCCAGGATTACAGCTATTTTTATTTTATTTTGCTATGTATTGTGATATACTGCTTACTCTCTCCATTACTTTCTCTCTCTCTCTCTTAAAAAATTACAGTGGACTTCAGAACACCACTGATGCAATATTGGATATGATCCTGAACCAGTAGTAGTTAAAACAAACACAAGCAAAATACTGAAGATTCCAAAAGCAGCAGTCAGTGGAACAATAAAATCATTTTTACAGACCTGGCAATATATGACAGGGCTTTCCAAAGGTGACATGCCACAACTAAAAAGAGCCAGGCTTTGATGCCTGTCCACCTAACCTCTGTAGATTGCACTGTTTGGAGAAGGTCTTCCCCAGAAGATCTTAAAACACATATTCAGGTTCTTACAGGAGTAGGCAGTCCTTGAGATAACTTGACAATGTATTGAAGAGCAACTTCAGTCCAGAAAGAATGCCAGTTTACCTGTTTCAAACCTGCTGTGATTTGTCCATTTTTAGATTAAGAGGATTTTCAAAAGCTCTTTGTGATATAACTTGTAGTGTAATAACAGAAGTCAGGAATCCCACTCAGCATGTCTAAAGGAGCCTCTCCTTTAGTGACATCTATATAAATTGGTTACAGAAAATATATTTGTAATTTTATTTTATTTTTTAAAAAAATCATACCCTGATCAGAAAGAAAATCCAGCATGGTTTGCAAGAGAAAAGACAAATGTCGGACAGAAAGCGCTGGGTTTCCCATTCTTCTTGAAGCATACACCAACTCGTGAAGCAAACGCATCTGCACAGCAGCCCAGCCACGGTGAGTTCCTTAAAAACAAAACCGGGAATGTTTACTGCAATAAATCTCGAAAGTGAGAAGCAATCAATACCACCACAAAATTCATTCAATGCTGAATTTTACAAGGCTACTAGCTCTAAGGCTCAGCATGATGCTAGACCTGCTTCCGAAGACAACCGTCCCATGACATAAATTTTTAAAAGCCACGCTGGAGACTAGGGTAGTTAATAAAGGATAACTTATTTAATGCCCTCTCAAAAAGACCTTCAGTGCCAAGATCCCATGCCTACACAATAACACTGCTCCTAGTGTAAGGCCCCTTCAGTTTTTACTGTGCCCAAGGCCCCTGAAAATCTCAAAGCCTATGCACAAAACCTTCACATTTTCACTATACCACTGAATAGTGCCTCTTCTGTTACGCAGTAAAATCTTACCGCCATCTGGAAAAATCAAATTAATATTTTCCATTTCATCAACTAAATTATACTGTAGCACTGAACACAAATCATAATCACTCAGATGTTTATTAATGTTCTTCAAATCCAAGATACATTTTCTCTCAAATCCTCTCATTACTGCATCATCCACACTTAAATTTAGGCACTCAGGCTAAACATAAATCACTTTTATCATTATCCTCCGAAAACTGGACTTAAAATTAATTACCTCACATTAGTTACATTCAAAAAAAGAAATTATGTATAAATAAGTCCTGTCAAGGTTTGAGTGCCATAGTCACATATTTGAATAAAATATGAAATATGGAAGCTAATGCTCCTCAAACATAAAGATACTTGGGGTTGTGTTCAGCTAACTGTTACTCAGAGTATACCCACTGAAGTTAATAGCCATGACTCCCTTAGGCCTATTAATTTCAGTTAGCCTACTCTGAGTAAATGTTAGCTGAATGCAACTCTTTCTATAATATACCTGTTTAAAAACTACCTGCAGCTTTCATGAAGCTATTAATATTAGCTGGTATATAGTGTGGTATATAATTTTATTATATGCATTTGCAACACTTTCAGAAACTTCAGAAACTACAGTGTGGATCATATCCCATTATCATTCAGAACTACAATTGAAGATTGACAGTGGCTGTATCCTTCCCACCACTTCACATGTGATTCTTCCTCAGGAGTACCTGCTTCTTTAGATTTTATGAGGAATTTAAAAATAACTATGCGGGTGGCGCTGTGGGTTAAACTACAGAGCCTAGGACTTGCTGATCAGAAGGTCGGTGGTTCGAATCCCCGTGACGGGGTGAGTTCCCGTTGTTTGCTCCCTGCTCCTGCCAACCTAGCAGTTCAAAAGCACCTCAAAGTGCAAGTAGATAAATAGGTACCACTCCGGCAGGAAGGTAAACGGCATTTCCGTGCGTTGCTCTGGTTCGCCAGAAGCGGCTTAGTCATGCTGGCCACATGACCCGGAAGCTCCCTTGGCCAATAAAGCAAGATGAGCGCCACAACCCCAGAGTCAGTCACGACTGGACCTAATAGTCAGGGGTCCCTTTACCTTATGACAAATGTTCTCAGTATAAACTGGTATTTTTTAAACAGTGTTTTAGAACTGGGGGGAGCTCCCCCTAAACACTAGGAATGCATAAATACTAGGATTTTGATTAATTGGTATACGGATTAAAGTACAGAATTGTGCCAAACAGGGAATACAGGGAATTCCTGGGCTGCTTTATGCAAACCAGCCTGGCCTAGCTAGGGCCATTAACAGAACAAAGGTGGGCCACTGTGGGGAGGAATCCTTTAGCCTGGGAGGTGAGATGTTACCAAAGTGGTGGGGTGTGTGTTGGAGGGGGGAGGGAAAGGGAGGTTTGAAGCAAGGGTTTCTGGGCAGGAGGAGGAAGTACGGCTGAGATCCATCTTTGTGGGGAAGAGGGGAGGTTGTCTGCAATGCTTTGGGCCATGCTGCAAGATCTAGACTCCCCCCATGCAGACCAAAGGTGTAAATAGGCGAATAAACCCTATTTCTTAAAGCACGGCAGTCTCCACCATGTCTTCTATTCTCCAAAGGGGCAAAGACCCTGTGTGTGTGCCTGTGGCCCCAAGCACTCTGGCCATTGCTTGGTGGAGAGAGGGCACAGTGCATTTGTAAGAATATACTTTCAGCCTGAACATATTCAAGAGCAGACCTTATTGTGAATCTTCCCCATCTCCACGAAAACATGTTTGCCCTCTCCCCTCTATAAAACCTGAAGTAGCACCTCTGCCAGTATTTAACACAATACACATTTAAATAATTGCCAACAAAGGTCCGTATAGTTAAAGCTATGGTTTTGCCCGTAGTGATGTATGGAAGTGAGAGCTGGACCATAAAGAAGGCTGGTCGCTGAAGAATTGGTGCTTTTGAATTATGGTGCTGGAGGAGACTCTTAAGAGTCCCATGGACTGCAAGAAGATCAAATGTATCCGTTCTTAAGGAAATCAGCCCTGAGTGCTCACTGGAAGGACAGATCGTGAAGCTGAGGCTCCAATACTTTGGACACCTCATGAGAAGAGAAGACTCCCTGGAAAAGACCCTGATGTTGGGAAAGATGGAGGGTACAAGGAGAAGGGGATGACAGAGGACGAGGTGGTTGGACAGTGTTCTCGAAGCTACAAACATGAGTCTGACCAAACTGTGGGAGGCAGTGGAAGACAGGAGTGCCGGGTGTGCTCTGGTCCACGGGCTCACGAAGAGTCGGACATGACTAAACGACTAAACAACAACAACATTTAAATAATAGTACAGTGGTACCTCGGGTTACATACGCTTCAGGTTACAGACTCCGCTAACCCAGAAATATTACCTCGGGTTAAGAACTTTGCTTCAGGATGAGAACAGAAATCGTGCAGCGGCGGCCCGGTGGCAGCAGGAGGCCCCATTAGCTAAAGTGGTGCTTCAGGTTAACAACAGTTTCAGGTTAAGAACAGACCTCCAGAACAAATTAAGTTCTTAACCCGAGGTACCACTGTAATAACCAAGGTTTCTGTGCAGCATATGCCTTACAGTTTGCATTTTATTGCCTGGCTTTGTCTCATGACTGTGTACGTGTAAATTTGTGGAGCTGACTGCTTGGAATGTCTGCCTCCAATTCAAACTTCAGCCTTCTGACTTCTGTACATTTATTTGCTAAGCTTGATGCAAGCAAGACAATAAGGGTTATGAGGGGGATTTTTTAAGGGCAGGGGGGTGTCTGAAAATAATCGGTACCTTTGCTGAAATCCTTAGGATCCAGAGATAGACTGTAACCAGGAAGGGTCTCCAGAAGCAGCTTATAGCAGGCTCTCCACCCTGGCTCTGTTATGCTAGGTGCCACACACTGCATTGCTGCCACACGCTTGAAGAAAGCAGATTTGCGGTGAAACCCAATGCGCTCATAAAGCTCAGAAAGAATGCTATAACGCTGAATTTTTTCTTCTTCAGAAAGCTGGGGTGGGGGGGAGGAAAAAAAAGTTTACTCATTAAAAGGTTCTTCTGAAACCTGCTGACATATCATACATACAAGCAGGCAGACTGCTACACAGTTTTATAAAAAGGCAAGAAAAAAGAAATGGGCCCAAACCTAAAAGGTGTGCAAAGTGACATCCTAAAGGGAAAAGCAATGAAACAGCAGTTGGACAGTAATAAAACATAAAATAATGACCAACTATACTCTAGAGAAATGCATGCATCCCGGAGATAAATCACAGCTACTTATACTGCATTATAATCCAAAAGCAGCTTTCTTCTTTGATAGTGTGAGCAGCTGTAGTGGTAAATAATCTGAAACCTCCTGCTGCTAAGTATGCAGTTCTCCCTTGCAGGAATGTATGTATTTTACTGGTTAGCCATGAAAGTGAATACAAAGAAATCCTTGACTGAGAACCAATGTATTCCACACACCCTCACAGCCTGTATTTCCCAAAAATTGTCAGTATATTGTTGGTTGATTTTGCTTGCTCTGTTCTATTACAAGTATTGGTTTTGATGGTCAACTGCTACGCCCAAAACAACCTGTTTTCAGTATGTGGTCATTGTATTTTTAACACCACTTCAGGTGGCTCATGTGCTGAGCTAGAAAGGCAGGATGCACTAAAGAAATAATAAATGCAAAGAATTCATCTGAAGTCGATATAAAGCACTGCAAGACACTGCCCTGAAAATCTCAACAACAGCAGCAAAAGATTGGCTGGATTCTAACAGACGCCCGGAAAAACAGAATACTATCATAGTACAACAGATAAAATTATGTTTTGGGTTCCTAAAGACTTGATATTAACACTTGTAGAAATATTTAAGATAAAATTTTCTATAAGAGCTAAGGTATCATAGATGCAGTTTTGCAGTTTTATAGTAGTGTAAAAAAGACTTTCTATAACCCTACATTTGAAGACTCAAACAGTGCCATTTCAGATAAAACCAGTTCAAGTGAGAATCCAGTGAAAAGGGATTTATCCTGGAGAAGCTAGAGCACAAATATGCACAATTGAAATGTGCATTGTCAGGGCACATGGGAAGAAACTTAACTATTGTGCCATTATTGAAATAATAGTGCTACTCCACTGTATGATTTCCTATAAGGTACATTAGAACTATTTGATCCATTCCAGAAATGACTGAACTATTTGACTGGTTCCATAATCCTAAATTGCTTTAGAACTGGCTTGCTCATACAGCAGCCCCCACACCACATGACAACCTGCTTATGAAGCTGACAGGAGTTTCAAAAGCAGTTAGTGAGCAGTTCTAGTTACAGGTAGGTAGCCGTGTTGGTCTGCCATAGTCGAAACAAAATTTAAAAAATCCTTCCAGTAGCACCTTAGAGACCAACTAAGTTTGTTATTGGTATGAGCTTTTGTGTGCACGCACACTTCTTCAGATAGACAGTGAGCAGCACAGAGTTCAAGTGAGTGGAGGGAAAAGCTAGCAAAACAATTCACTTGGCTAGCACAAGCACCTTATCCGATGCTAGCCAGCTCTTTGAATCCAGGACTGTATGGTACTCTGAGAACTGAATTTTTAATGTTGATGGTGAGTACTAGCCGACAGTTGCTTTAAAAAACAACAACTCCTATACAGAAGTAACATAATATGTTTTAGCTCCTAAGCAAAAGACAGCAATATCATAAGCATGCAAAAGAAAGTGATGCCAATCACATATTCCCAGGAAATTCAGGAGGAAAAGCCAGGTGGCATTTCAATTCTCTACATACGTAAGAGTTCTAACTTCATAAATTGTTCAGCAAATAGTCTAACTGGTACCCAACTTGGGCAATGAGCAACAAGAATCTTGAAGGCATCAAATACCACAAACCCACAATACAAATTCTGTTTGTTATATCAAATCCCATCAGGGCTCATTATTTCTGTTGTTTGACTGGAATATTTTAAGACAGAAATAAACCTGCAAGAGAAAACTCCTTTGCTTGGCTAACTCAAGAGGCTGTTAAGCAATAAAACTTTATATCAGCACTATTCCAGCCACAGCAGTAACCAATTCCTACAGTGTTACACTGCTGACCCCTAGTGAAAAATATACAACATAAGCATAACGAAAGCCTGCCGCAACCGCTGTTGACATTTCCCCCAACCCTCTAAAGAAATATTTTGTCTGAAGAAAATAAAATGAGAGCAGTACAACACCTTAAATGACAAATGCTCAGAAAGGAAAGGTGAGTGGTGTGGTGTTCCACTCAAAATTCCTCTAAAGACAATAGCCTAGGGATAACTATCATAGAATCAGAGTTGGAAGGGACCCTGAGGATCATCTAGTCCAACCCCCTACAATGCAAGAATATGCAGCTGTCCCTTACCAGCATCAAACCTGCAACCTTGCCATTGTCAGAACCATGAGCTATCCACCTCAACACTCGGTTGATCACATTCATATTCAATAGACACCATAAACTGATATTACAAAATATTTGGAAATATTCACTGCTTTGTCTTCTCTATAACCATTTCCCCCCAAATTCAGTCACTTCTGCTGCAAGTCCTCCATTTCAGCTACCTTAAAGAACAATATTATACCCACCCCATCAAAACAAAGCACTTGGCTTCTGTGCATTCACAACTCCACTCATTTCTGGAATGGGTCCAACAGTTGTAATGTACCTTATAGGAAACCATGCAGTGGAGTAGCACTATTAAGGTATTTCAATAATGGCACAATAGTTAAGTTTCTTCCCTAATGCTTTGACAATGCACATTTCAATTATGCATAATTATGCTCAAGCTTCTCCAGACTAAATCCCTTTTCACTGGATTCTCAGTTGAACTGGTTTTATCTAAAATGGCACTGAGTCTTCAAGTGTAGGGTTATAGAAATTATCAAACAATGGCTCAATTTAAATTATCGTTGCTGGCTTCATAAAGCTTGATTTATCAAGCAGGGAACAATTCGTCAAGGCCAAGCCCTCCTCTTCTCAAGCACCACTTCAGTGCTTTGCGTCTGGCTTGTATTAAGCAAGTGTTACCAATACATACAAACTCTGGCTTAATTTCAGGAAACAAGTCAAGATTATCCTTGCTTGATAAATGACATTAAGCATTTCCCCGCTTATCATCCTTGCTTGTTAACTCACAATAAGCCGGAATTCCCAGTATGGATGTAACTGGAACTCTGGCTTCATACAAGCCAGAAACAAATTCACCTAATGAGTTCTGTCAACAGGAACCCTAGGCAAGGACTTGCATTTGCACAGTGGGACTTTCTCTCCTGTTCTTCTGCCATGCATGCCCTGCCCTCCAAAAACAACAGGCTCCAGGGAGGGGGTCAGTAGACACCCCAGAAAAACACAAGGGGTGCGGGGAGAGGAGAATCATCCTATCTGGAAAGTTGAAATGACAGAATATTCAACGTAACGTGACAAATTCCTCCCACAGCACTAAAGTGGCAGTTGAAGGTTGGAGAGGAACAAGGGAGAGTGTTCGGCACTGATGCTAATCGGGGGGGGGGGGGAGTTCAAAAAACCAAGTCAATCCATTCTTAGTTGAAAGATAAAGAGTGTACTCACCTGACGGAGATTAATATAAACAGCATTCTGAAGAAATTCAGAAGCCTCCATGCTTCTTTTCTGTATTGCCAACACTCTCACAGCCTTCACACAGGCTTCCAACTCAATTACACCAGCATTCTTGTACTATAAAACAAGAACATATAGAGGATAGAAATATTATTAAGTGATGTACCAAAAATATTTGGCAGACAGGAGGACCAATGGACTCAGTATCAGACCATTGGTCCATCCTGCTCTCCAGGGTTTCATGCAGGAAACTGAACCAAGAAACACCTGCATTCAAAGCAAATCATTTGGGAAAGGGACTAATTATCCCTTTATGCTGAGAATTCACTACAGTCTGCAGGAGAGCTTCTCCTTCAAATTCCAAACATATCAGAAACCTGCTCCACAGCATCTTGGAGCAGGGCTTTCACCATGGCTGCCTCTGTTCTGTGGCACAGCAGTCCCTCTGAAATACAACAGGTGCCTACTTTCTGGAAAACAACAACAAACTAAAGACATTTTTGTTTCAACAAGCTTTCCCAGCTGGATGAATACCCAGGGGGGTCCATTTTGTGTTATTTTCTGTGCCGTTTTTAACTTAGTTAAACTGAGAGAATCTACGTACAAGGAGAAAGTAAAAAAAATGCTGCTATTTGTAACAACAAATGTGGTTGGAGCTTCTGGAGAGAGAAAAGTAGTATTTCCAAAGCATTTGAACCAAGTTCACAAATTTAGCAAGAGTTGCAGAGTGTGGGGCCAAAACTGCAATGCAATGATCTGCATTTCCTTCAGAGGCCTTTTCAGTTAAAATAAAACACAGTGACTGCATTCAGAAACAAGGCTATGGTTTTATTGTTACATAAATGAGCTTTGATCTCTCACCTCCTTCATTCTTCAGCACAGTATCAAGAAAAAGAAGTTTTTACTTCTAATTTCAGTTATGTCCAAACCATAAAATATGGATAGTCTAATTAAGGTTTGCTGCAGCAAGGGTGAATTGGATCCAGCAGTAACCAACCCTCTGGAGGGCACTTTGAGAGATGAACAGGGCCACCCACCTATCTCTCACCTGACTTCATATGATGTCAGGAATTTAAAGTCCCAAGTACAGCTGCAAAGGAACAGTACTCCTTTGCAGCCACAGTTATTCCTTTGCATCTGTGGCTTAAATTCAAGCTGTGGCTGCAAAGGAAAATCCTTCCTTGAACTTTCCAAGGCCTGACCTCATACGAAAAAGATTGCATGGTTTCCCCCAAAACCACCTAGGGAGTCAACCTCCAAGGCTTGGTGGACCTAATTAGGCTCATAGGCAGAAGGCTCCCCACCAATGACTTACTGGAACAAGCCAGGATCATAAACCAGTTTAAAGTTGGCTTATTCTGCTAAACCGCAGCTAAGGCCCACTTTGTCCACTCCAGATTTAACAGTAAACCATAGTTAGTCAAAGCAGAAGTGAAAGTTTTCTCCAACCTGGAAAAGGGAAAGGGATCTGACAAATCATGGGCCGGCAAACTAAGGTCCGCGGGCCAGATCAGGCCCCATTGCCTTCTGGATCCGGCCCATGGACGGTCCGGGATTCACTGCATGGCTTGCCAGTGCACACATTCTTTCCCTCTCCCTCCCTCTCCCTCCGGCGGTGGCGGCGCCTCCTCCCTCCCTCCTCCTGGCTTCTCCCCGCCCTGCCTAGATGAGGAACGTGGCTGGGCTTTGTTGGTGCCAGCAGCAGCAGTGCTCAAGGCAGCTGCCATTTTAAGTAGCCCCTCTCCGGAGCCCTTTCGCGCACCACTCATTGTCCCTCTGCTGATGCCACCAGCCCCTGCCACTCGCAAGACACAGGTAAGCAGCCACTGGGGCTCGTGGTGCTGTGGCATCATTTTTTCCCCTCCAAAATATAGTTCGGCCCCCCACAAGGTCTGAGGGACAGTGGACCAGCCCCCTGCTGAAAAGGTTTGCTGACCCCTGCAATTAATCTTTACGCAATGAAAAACCATAATTTCATTGCTATATCTGATAGTAGTGGAAACGTGTAAGAATGAGTTCACCTTTGCATGGTGCATAAGCCTAGCATTCGACTCTAAAACCACAATTTAAACTATAAAAAGCCATTTTCTAGGGAACTTCAGCAGCTACATATATAGGTGCTAGTTTATAGAGTTAGCAGCTTGAGAGCATCAACACTATCTTGTATGCCCATCCGAAGTACTGTACACTCTTACAGGAAATCATGTGCCCACTACCAGAGGTGCCGCTCCAAATGAAGCTGACTGCCTTTATTTCACACATCAAAATTTCTCATAATGTAGCAACATCACCTTGCTGTAGTAAGAAATGGCCTCTTTGTATTTATCTATGATGTCTTCAGGGCTAAGGCAGTTCTTGGCCCGTCCTATTTCAGTACTGGTATCTGCATTAATGCCATTTGACGTGAGGGCTCCTGCATTGGAGGAAAGCAGGAAATTTCAAATTAACAATGGCTGCCAGTTAATGACACCTGGGTAAGAGCAAAGCAGACCAAAAAATGTTTCAGAAAAGCCTTTCAAGACAAATTAACTCTACCAATACTAAGTTTTAGCAATGAACAAACCTTTAAAAAAATTTAGAATGTAAATAAAAATCAGTTTGCTGATTCATTGTCACAGAATTAAATTTCTTTCTTTTTTTAATTGCACAAAAAGTTGAAAATTATATCTTATTTTGATAACATAAGCATACATAAAATAATCTCTGGCAAAATTGACAAACTAGTGCTGTATTATGTTGTCTACATAATAAGGAAAAAAGGAAATGCCACTTAATGGTATGCAACATTTTAAATGAATTTGCCTGTTCTCCAAAGGAAAATAAAAAAAATGATTTAAAGATTATATGAAGTAGAAACTACTATTTAAAAAAAAAAGAATTCTAGGAACATATAGGAACTAGTAAACAATTAACACAAATATATATATATATTGACACAGCAGATTAATAAGACAGTATACCTGGATCAATAAGAACTTCTTGTGCCCCTAAAGGAAAATCAAAGTGACAACATTAACCTTCTTTATTTCCAAAAAACCCCAAGCTATTAAATATATTTGAAAACATGCCAAACAGCTGCAGAATTCTGAGAAAACCCCATTACTGACATTGAAACAAACAGCTGCCAAGTGGTTTTGATAAACTTTGTTATCACATACCTTCCTACAGCCTGACAGATGACTCTACACAAGCTACTGAGTTGGGTCATTTAGCTTAGTATTGTCTGTTTACATCAGAAGTGGTCAACCTACAGCCCCACCAATGGCAGTGGACAACAACTCCCATCATGCAATAATGGTTGTTGATGCCTAGGGGAAATACCAAAGCCTGCCAAATACTTAATTGCCAAACATACTAGGGAGAAAGTATATTGCTTACCTGGTCTGTGCCTGTTGCCTGCCTCTGCAGGAAGTGAACTTCCTTGTGCTCTTCTTGCACCAACTTTACCACCTGTGCCTCCAGGATAATGATAGATAACTGAGGCGGAACATAATCCTTCAAGAGCCGCTACAGATTAAAAACAGTGTTTTAAGTGGCAGCAATCTCACAGGCCTACTCATGTGATTTCAATTGTACAAGAAATATAGGCAGGTACTGAGGCTGGCCCAGGCCAATAGAAACCCAGATGGGTGGGGTATAAATAATAAAATTTGTTGTTGTTGTTGTTCTTGTTGTTGTTATCTCAAAGCACTGCCAAAGCAGCCTTAAAATCCACCATTCCTTTCATAGGCAGGGTGTGTGAAATCCCTTGGTGTGCACTACCGTACCCAGCCCTGTGGATCACAATTTGTTACGGATTTATTATGGATGTTAAGGTCACTTCTGTTTCATTACCAAGACTTAAAACATTTCCATCTAAGTTGTAGCAGGTAAAGGCAGAAAGTGGATATAAATCATATATCCACTGATCTCAATGGATCTGCTCCAAATATAACTTAATCAGATTGCAACCTGGGTCAAGAAAGCTTTCTAAAAAAAGTTTCATTTTGTTACTCATTTTGCCCACCTCCAAGCCACAAAAAGTCATTCACAGAACGGAGAAGTTCCACTGCCATGTGGTAGTGTACGAGGGAATCTTGCAACATCCCGGCTTGCAGACATAGGTCACCGACATGCTTCCGCATACGACCCTGGCATCGCTTCTTATAATGTCTAGAACACAAAGTATACAGAGATTGATTAGTTTCGTTGACCTCAGTATGCCAGAAGGCATTAGATTTATTTGCTTTAACATTTCTCTATCACTTTATGCATCATGTACAGGTGTATTTTTTTCGCAACAATATTTATGTCTTTAGCCACCCTGTGCTCCCTGACTTCTGGATACAACCCTGAGATTTAAAAGCTGATGAAATAAATAGCCGTTTCTGCTCACCAATGAGCAGACAGACTTGTTTCAGCCATCAGTGTAAAAGGCTAAATAAAAACAAAGATAGCCACTATAATAATAATAAAATAAATCACATGTTTGGAAGCAAAACCACATTCTGTATATGCAACACTAGCAATAGTTGTATCAGTGCAAGCTATCTTGAGTGTTGGCAACCGTCACCCAAACAACGTACATGCCTCTCCTTATCCTCTGACCTCTTCATTCTCCTTTGTGTCTGTCCCATTCTTTTTTTACGCCACTAGCTGACCTGACATCACAGAAGCGCTTGGGTAGCTTGGCCAGCGAAGGTGTTCTGCTAGGGTGAGGCAGCTGAGCACTGCTTAAGCATATTCAAAGAGGCCTTCAGATAGAATTTCCAAGATCAATGAAGAATCAATGGTCTGTGTGTGTGGTTTGGGAGCTGCATGGTGGGGGGGGAAACAATGCTGTCCAGGGTTGTAAAGACTGCGGAGAAAATAATTGGGTGCACTCTTCCCACTTAGGATCAAATCTATGCTTCCAGGTGTCATAAGAAAGCTGCAGAGATAGTGCAGGATAGTACACACCCCGGAAATTATCTCTTTCAGCTTCTGCCTTCTGGATGAAGGTATAGGGTTATAAAGACTAGGACTAGCAGCCTGAGAAACAGTTTTTATCCAAATGCGATTTTGGTTTTAAACGCAGTGTAAGGTAGTCTCTGTGGGAGTATATTGTATTTAATTATGGGGTATCAGAGTTTTTAGGGGGTTAACCAGGCTGGGATAGCTGGGATAGCAGGCTTGTTGGTTTTTGAATGTCTGATGTAGATTTTTTTCAATTTCGTTGTTCTGTATGGGACAATGGCTATAAAGATTATCGTATCATATCGAACTTTCACTAAATTAAAACTGCACATCTATGGCAGAGATTCCACAAAAGCCACCCATGGGCTCTTGCACTACAACCTCTCAGTGTGGTTTAATAGTTATGGAATCTTTTGATAGAAACAGATGACACTAGCTGCTTAATTATTTTTTACCTTAGTGAAACGAAATAGTTTATGATTTGCGCTATCAGGTTATAAACTGAGCAAAGCAAAAGCAGAACTTTTTATGCATTAACTTAACTCCGCAGCTTGAGAGGAACTGCAAGATTATATTATATGTGAAGAATGTGGAATTTCAGAATGGCAAGATATTTGAAACTCAATCTCTCTGAAGATTTAAAAGTATTAATAGATATCAGCAAGGAAGTAATTTCATTAAAAGCAATTCTCTCAATGTAGAGTTGAAACCAATTTAAGTCCCCACCCCCCCACCCCCGAAAAAGCCGACAATTTGGGAGCATGGCAGGGGGGAGACCAGACAGTGGGGATTTAGGCTGGATCGTAAAACCATTCAGCTTAGTCATGTGGCCTGGCAAGCCAGAGTAAAATACTATTTTAAAGACTTGTTTTTCCTCTGCCAGGCATAGGCAGGGCTGCAGCAGTAGTTCAGCTGCTCAATGGAGTTTGGATCAGGTATAACTTTATGCCAATTTAACATATACCAGCTTGCTTTATGACAGTTTTTGTGCACAGGATTGTTCCCATAGCCAATAAAGTGGGATTTCTTCAACAAATCTTCTACAGAATATTTAGAAACTAATGCATACAGAACAGTAATGAAACTATGCATTTTTTTACTTCAAGACCCATTAAGTTTTGTGCATACAAAACAGTTTTTCTAGAAGATTTTCAGCTAATTAAAAGATCGTTTCATATGCCCTGCATGACAGTGGTATGTTTGAAAAGATGTATGCTTGTGTTTTAAGACAAAACATTAGTAAATACAGCATAAAGAAAAGTATTAGCTAAACTGTATACATTTTATGAGATACAAAGAAGTATTAAAAAAAACAAACTTCTAAAAATGTGTTTCAGTGCATTTAGGAAAAACAGTGCTGTTAAAACATTCAATAAAATTTTATCGCCGTATGTTGCTGCCTGTACCATAAATAACCACATTTTAACATTCAGCTATTATAAGGAGGAAAGTTGATGCCCCTGCAATATTTGTAATATTAAATTTCCATAGGTGCAATAAAAACAGAAAATAGCCAGTAGCATTTGATAATAATAATATTACTAAACTATACTTTTGTTTCATTTTATTTTTTGTAGTGACTCTAATTCTGTGGAAGTCTTGTCATGGAAGACCACTCTAAACTCCTCTAAACCCCGCCACCCTCCAGAAGCTGCTTTGCTCTTTACAAAATGGTCGGAGCACCATTTCATTTATAAGCATGTAATTTATAGGCAGGAGCAACCTACCGCTTTTCCAACGTGAGCAGCAACATTCTCTGTCCTGGCATTCTCCCCAACCCACTTCAGCTATCGACTCCCATGTCCACAACATACAGACAGAGCATCTCCTGCTTTTATCTCTATGGAAGAGCCCTTTGCCTGGGTCTTGGACCACATGGATGCAAGTCAGCAGGGAGAGTCAACGTTACCGGCTCTTCAGCACTTGCTGAATACAAAATATGCCCCTCATGAAAATTTATTAAATTATAAATTATTATTAAGCAGGTATGTAGAATCATCATTGAAAACAATAACAACAACAACCACTTGCTATTACTGCTCATGTTTATGGATGAATTACCAAAGTTAGTTAGAACAGTGCTCTAGGTGACCTCTGGGTGACTGGAAGAGGAAGGCTTTGACACCTCCACAAATGCAAGGAAGGTGCCCTGGCAATTAAATGCACCCAGGGGCAAAGAGTTAACAACATATAACCCATGTAGGGAAACCACACTTTGGATATGAAACTTTTAATCAGAAAACAATGCAGACAAGAATGCATCCTTCTTTTCCCCCTTGTTAGCCAAGGATGTGGAACAGAGTCTCATGGAAGAATTTTGCCATGATGTTAGCAATTAAAAAGTGACTGACAAGACTTCCACTATCTTTAGCCTGGCTTTCAATACGTTCAAGAAAGGTTTTATACAATATTAATTATGCATTGCAAAGCAAGCGATCTAGCTCTTGTCACCAGCTAATTAAACAGTGTTGCACAGGTATGACTTATATATCTAACAAAACCTGCCATAGTGCAAGGCAGATAGGTAGCCGTGTTGGTCTGCCATAGTCAAAACAAAAAAAATTCCTTCCAGTAGCACCTTAAAGACCAACTAAGTTAGTTCTTGGTATGAGCTTTCGTGTGCATGCACACTTCTTCAGATACACTGAAACAGAAGTTGCCAGATCCTTCTATAAGAAGAATCACAAGACAGAGAAACCAGTAGGAGAACACTTCAATCTCCCAGGACATTCTATACAAGATCTCAAAGTAGCTGTTTTACTACAAAGGAATTTCAGAAATAGACTGGAAAGAGAAACTGCTGAATTGCAACTCATTACCAAACTTAAAACCATGCAGAGACCTGGTCTGAACAAAGACATTGGATTCTTATCTCATTATACATGACAAAGCCATTTTTCACCTTCTCACCCCTTGCTTTTTCCTGTAAGACCTATTGCAGTCGTTAAGAGTCGTCAACAGGCTCATCACAGCTATCTGCCAATCACCCATTCCCACCACCCTTCTGAGTAATACCCCTCCCCACCTTCTCACTATATAGAAGGATCTGGCAACTTCTGTTTCAGTGTATCTGAAGAAGTGTGCATGTACACGAAAGCTCATACCAAGAACTAACTTAGTTGGTCTTTAAGGTGCTACTGGAAGGAATTTTTTTTTATAGTGCAAGGCAGTTATCTTTAGCCTTTATAGGCATAGGACCCACCATTAGCCACAACTGTCAGGGAACTGCCATCGGAGCCAAAAGTGGAGGTAAGGCTCCCCAACGATGCAGGAGAAGGGACCAGCAGAGGGAGAGAGAACACTTCCTTTGGGGAAGGCAATCAGCGTGACATCAGGGAGGAAGGGGAGCAGGGAAGCACTTCGGAGAGAGGGCTCCAAGACTCTTCCACAGAGACCAGCGGGGAGGGTCCAGGACCTCCGCTGGCCACGCCCACTCTGCGCAGAAGACTTCCGCGCAGGGAGGCTAGGCGGAGACTTGGCGTCAAGGAATTTTTATGTTGGAGGAAGTTCAGGAAACGCCCACTGACGGATTCTGCCAGTGACTGACACAGCCATGGAGAAAGGGCTGTCCAGCCAGGGAAAAGGTTTAGCCAGGCAACTTGCCTAGAGCATCAGCATCCTTTACGCACGAGCAACCCCAATTTCCTAACAACAACCTTCAACACATAATTCATTTTTTAAAAATATATCTGCCCATGTTCCTATGGCTTGTGTAGCAGAGCTAGAAGCCAAATGTTATGCTATTCTGGAAGGTGCCTATTTGAGCTCTTGGTGGGTTAAGCAGAAAAGAAGGTTGATCCTTCGCATGGATTAGCTTTAGGGCAGGGATAGGATACATCCAAACAACTTCCGGTTCAAATCTCCAACATCTCCAGTTGACAGTAGATCAGGCAGAAGGGCTGTGAAATATCCTTGGAGCTCTACTGCCAGAGAGTAGACAATACAATGATTTGACTAAGTATGAAGTTTCATGAGTGTTCCTTAACATTGTTTCTTCTGTCCCTCTTTCTTTTTTTCTCTCCTCAGACCCTTACAGAAACATTAAACAAGAAAATAAAAAGTGGTAGTGAACTACTACAATTTACTCTAGGTCAGACTACAACTGAACTGGAAGTCTATTCCCACATTTGAAGAAGGTGCAAACTGAACAACCCAGATATTTTTAATGCGATCAGTCTGCAAGTGATTGTCAGGGAGAAGATATCACCCTCTGATAT